GCAACAGTACCACTTCCAGCTTTTTCTGTTTATGTGGTAGTGAAGAATTGAACCCAGGGCTTCAGGTATACCAAGCACTCACTTTTAAGTCAAAACCTTTAAAAAGTCAAGAACTTAAAGTGAAATAATTTAATGTCAAAATCTTTATTTTAAAATAAACATTAGGAGCCGGGTGCTGGTGGCTCACGCCTGTAATCCTAGCTACTCAGGAGGCTGAGATCTGAGGATCGCGGTTCAAAGCCAGTCCGGGCAGGAGAGACCGTGAGACTCCTATCTCCAATAAACCACCAGAAAACCGGAAGTGGCGCTGTAGCTCAAGTGGTAGAACCCTCGCCTTGAGCTGAAGAGCTGAGGGACAGCGCCCAGGCCCAGAGTTCAAGCCCCATGACTGACAAAAAATAAAATAAAATAAAATAAACATTAGGGGCTGGGAAGGTGGCTCAGTGGTAGAGTGCTTGCCTTGCATGCATGAGGCCCTGGGTTCAATTCCTTAGCACCACAAAAGCAGAAAAAAAGCCAGAAGTGGTGCTGTACTAGCCTGCTAGCCTTGAGCTGAAAAGCTGAGGGACAGTGCCCAGGCCCAGAGTTCAGACCCCATGACTGGCAAAAAATAATAAAATAATAAAATAAACATTAAAGATCATCCATCATCCACTACCCTATAAAACCTTTAAATGTGTAATGTTTATATCTATTTTATATTTTTATTTTATATTTTATATATTATATTATATTATTTAGTATATATTTTATATATACATAAATATTTATATATTTATGTATTTATGTTTCTATATTTATGTATTCTATTTTATATTTATTTTTATATTTTTATATGTGTAATGTTCATATCTGTTTTATTTTGTTTTTAAGGAATTGAATAGCTTCCAGAAAAATTCCTTAGCTAAAAGACTAAGATAATACTTAATCTGCATAGAAAGTATCATTAACTTAATGGTAGTTGCCTAATTGGTGGGCTTAATGCTCCTTGAAGTCAAAGTAGAATGGGACAAATGGCATTACGTCCTTTGCACACAGAGCTAGTGCCTAAACTACTAACACAAATTCTAACACAGTACATATGGGCTAAGCTTCTACTAAACTGTCCATTTCTATCAAAGACTCTCCCTATGCATGTAAGGATAATAATCACCTCTCTGACATAAATGCATAAAAGGAGAGTTCAATTAAGGTTTAATTAGACAAAAAGTAAGTACATATATTTACCTGGAAATAACCAGGTAAATCACCTGGTTACCTGGTAAATAACCAGGTAGCATCACACTTGTGATACTAATAATGAATGGGTAAACTCACATAAGCTGCTGGCTGTTAAACACCAAAGTCCAGCTTTATTTTTTTGGGGGGGGGGGCCGGTCGTGGGGCCTGAACTCTGGGCCTGGGCGCTGTCCCTCAGCTCTTCAGCTCAAGGCTAGTGCTCTACCACTTGAGCCACAGCACCACTTCCGGCTTTTTTCTTTTTGCTTATGTGGTGCTGAGGAATCGAACCCAGGGCCTCAGGCATGCAAGGCAAGCGCTCTACCACTGAGCCACCGTCCCAGCCCCCAAAGTCCAGCTTTTTTGTTTGTTTGTCCGTCACGGGGCTTGAACTCTGGGCCTGAACACTGTCTCTCAGGTTTTCAGCTCAAGGCAAGAGCCCTACCACTTGAGCCACTGCGCCACTTCCAGTTTTGAGAGGTTTATTGGAGATAAGAGTCTCACAGACTTTCCTGCCCCAGCTAGTTTTAAACCGTGATCCTCAGATCTCAGCCTCCTAAGTAGCTAGGATTACAGGTGTGAGCCACAGGCACCCAGCTTTTTTTTTTTTTTTAAACAAGCAGTATCTTTAGTAGTATGAGCAAAAATTACATGCATATTTAGATATATTACACATGAACATCTATATTATGTATTTAAACATACATATTTCTGTCAGAAATATTTTTTAAACATGATTGAAATGACTTATTTCCCAGTTATTTCTGTAATTTTGTATTGTTGTTGTAAAGGTGATATGCAGAGGGTTGCAGCTTTATAAGTCAGGTAAGGAGCACATTTCTTTTTGACAATGTCACTCCTTCCCTCACTCTCTCCCAGTTTTTCCCTCCTGTCCCCATCCATGAGTTATATAACTCATTTTCTTTTCTTTTTTGTCAGTCAAGGGGCTTGAACTCTGGGCCTGGGCGCTATCCCTCAGCTCTTCAGCTCAAGGCTAGCACTCTACCACTGGAGCCACAGCACCACTTCCAGTTTTCTGGTGGTTTATTGAAGATAAGAGTGTCAGAGACTTTGCCACCAGGGCTGGCTTTGAACCATAATCCTCAAATCTCAGCCTCCTGAGTAGCTAGGATTACAAGTGTGAGCCACCAACGCCCGGCTTGTATAGTTCATTTTCAACCAAGTGTCTAGTGGGTCCACTTCTGTATTTGTTCACCCTTTGTCCCTCCATTTCTGTGCCACCTCTTACCCTCCTAAATACAGATAAACAAAACACAAAAGACAAAAAGAAAACAAAAACAATGAAAAAAAACCTCGTTTCCATTTCCTGGAGTTAATTTTGATACAAGATACAACTTTTATAAACATTTTTTATTTGCTTTATTACCATGAGAACTGAAGCTACTGACTGTCATTTCCCTAAAACAGGGAAACCAATCTAAAACACACACACAAGGCTTTTTAAAGGATAGTAATTTAGTATTTTATGTAATTAATATCTAATATTAATATCTAATATTTAATCTAATTTAGTATCTTTTTTTTTTTTGTCGGCTTGAACGCTGGGCCTGGGTGCTGTCCCTAAACTCTTCAGCTCAAGGCTAGCACTCTACCACTTAAGCCACTGAGCCACTTCCAGTATTCTGGTGGTTTATTGGAGATAAGTCTCACAGACTTTGCTAACTGGGCTGGCTTTGAACCGTGATCCTCAGATCTCAACCTCCTTAGTAGCTAAAATTACAGGTGTGAGCCACCAGCACCTGGCTAATTTAGTATCTTATCTGTGACAAAAATTGTTGATTATCCATTAAAGATTTTCATCAGTACTAATTTAGGTGATAGTACAACAAAGATTCAAGGATTCTTGGGAACAATACATATCTTAAGAGATTTTAAGCCGGGTGCTGGTGGCTCACGCCTGTAATCCTAGCTACTCAGGAGGCTGAGATCTGAGGATCGCGGTTCAAAGCCAGCCCGGGCAGGAGAGACCGTGAGACTCCTATCTCCAGTAAAACACCAGAAAACCGGAAGTGGCGCTGTAGCTCAAGTGGTAGAGCGCTTGCCTTGAGCTGAAGAGCTGAGGGACAGCGCCCAGGCCCAGAGTTCAAGCCCCACGACCGACAAAAAAAAAGAAGATTTTATAGAGACAGTATCAGTACTTATGAAAGGGATTGCCTCAAAGAAACTTTTAAATGTTCAAAAGAGATCTAAATAGTTCACATTAAGTATAGAAGCAGTCTGTCCAGATTATATCCCATATTTGTTGCATGTTTTTCAAAAAGTACCAATCAAAGCCTAATTTGCATTTTGGCTGTTTTGTATTTGAGCATTTACTTTAAGACAGATTAAATTATCTCAATTTATTTATTTATAGCGTGTGCTGAGCTTGAGCACTGTCCCTTAGCTTTTTTTCCCCTCAAGGCTGGCACTTGAGCCATGCATCCATTTCAAGATAGTTGCTGGTTAGCTTAAGATTCCAACATTTTCCTGCCCTCAATAACTTCAAACCTCAATCTTCAGCCTCATGAGTAGCTAAGATAACAGGACTGAGCCACTTCAACTTCATGGGGCAGCAACTATTATCCCAGTGCTCTAGAATTTAACCTCAGAATGATAGACTTTAGAGGACAAGCATTTTATCCCTTGTTCTGCTACTTCCTCATAACAAAAAATAGCCATCAATCTTATATTACAGCTGACCTATAGGTGACAGGTATATTTTATTTATTACTGACACAAACTGGTACTATGAAATAAAGCAAAGTACTACAAAACTTATAGAAGTCTCTTATTAAAATCAAATCTTTTTTTTCTTTTTTCTTTTTTGTCAGTCATGGGGCTTGAACTCTGGGCCAGTACCCTACCACTTGAGCCACAGCACCACTTCCAGTTTTCTGGTGGTTTTTTGCAGAGTCCCATGAACTTTCTTGCCCTGGCTGGCTTTGTAACCGCCATCCTCAGATCTCAGCCTCCTGAGTAGCTAGGATTACTGGGGTAAGCCACCCTTACCTGGCTTCATGCATTCAAAAAGAATGCATGTTTTATGTTATAATGTTATATGTTAACACTTCTGGGCATTTGGCATAAATGTTAGTATTGCACAGTACAGCATTGTATTTAAAGATGAAGCTCAGACTTAAGAATCTCTGTTTAAAGGAGGAGGCAACAATGCTTGATAAGAAACGTACTCACAGGGGCTGGGAAGGTGGCTCAGTGGTAGAGCGTTTGCCTTGCATGCCTGAGGCCCTGGGTTCGATTCCTCAGCACCACATAAGCAAAATGAAAAAAGCCGGAAGTGGCACTGTGGCTCAAGTGGTAGAGCGCTAGCCTTGAGCTGAAGAGCTGAGGGACAGCGCCCAGGCCCAGAGTTCAGGCCCCACGACTGGACCCAAAAAAAAAAAAAGAAAGAAACGTACTCATTATCTTGCCCAAGTAATTGTAACCCCTCTGTACGGTATTTTCACAATAAAAATAAAAAAGAATCTCTGTTTAAATTAAGTTTGTGATCCTGAGCACTTTAATCTCCTGAAGCCTCACTCGCCTAACTGCAAAATGGAGTTAACAACAGAACCTACTTAAGACTGTGAGAACCCAAAGAAGTGTCCTGTCCAGATTTTGGAACAGGGTCTGGCACATACATGAAAAGATCAGTTTATCTTGAAGAGAAACTAACAAATAAAAGAAATGAGCTTATTAACTAGGTTCAATGTTATGAAACTACCGACTACTTAATAATTAATTTTTATTACTTTTAGTCGCCTAAAAAAAGTGACACGGTTTACCTCATGTCATCCTTAGCCTGGACGCCAATCCGGTCCGGACGCCAATCCGGTCCGGACGCCAATCCGGTCCGGACGCCAATCCGGTCCGGAGGCCAATCCGGTCCGGAGGCCAATCCGGTCCGGACGCCAATCCGGTCCGGAGGCCAATCCGGCCCGGAGGCCAGCCCCAACCCGCGAAAGGCCCTGTCCACGCCTATTGACGACGTCATGACAGTCTAGCCAGTCCCGCCCACATACCATTTCCGCTTCACTAATAGCTACATGTTGGTTGCTTATTGGCTACTAGCACATACTCGCTTTTCTCATTGGCAACCATCCGGAAAGTTCCGCGGAGAATGGTTACCGCGATGTTAGGTTCAGAGTCACTGGTACTTCCACTTCCGCTTCCTGTTTGAGTCGGAAGCCATGGCGGCCGCTCGGGACCTAAGGTTCCTGTTACCGGGCAGGTGGGGCCGTACCCTTCGACTAGCTCCCCCATCCCGGGTAAATGCACACTTCTGCTATGGGACAGTCTCCTTTCTGTTAACAAGCCCTTGCAACTTTCCTTTTTGCCTTGCAATCAGCATTTCTTTCTCGGCCTCAGGCTCTCGCCGTCCTGGCACCTGGAGTGACCCAGATAGATAACAAGTCTGATTTTCTGGGGAAGAAGCCCCATCGTAAACATCCTGGCATCCTGCGCCTTCCGCACCTGCGGCTGCCACAAACACTGGCTAACGCCGCGCAGCTGCAGCTGCTTGGTGAGTTACTGCGAGCCAGCGAGTTCAGAAAGGAAACAAGACAAGGTCCTTACGCGGTTATTCAGCTTTTTATCTTTGGCCCGTAGAGAACCCAATGCCTAATATGGAGAAGCGGGTGCAAGCACTGACTAATTATCTGTGGAGCCGACAGTTGCCTGTAGAACCAGAGGAGTTACAAAAAAGAGCTATGGAACTTGAGAAAAAATTCCTGGAAAATTCAGGTAGGATTTAAGAACAACTAAGGAAAAGGCTAGATCCAAATATCCGTAGGAAACGAAGAACAAGGAGTAATTTCAGTCTCCTGAGTGGATTCTGCAGTTTGTTATTTGACAATCATGTTTTATCTTCTTAGTTTTTGTTTTTGTTTTTCCGGCAAGGCTTCTAAACTAGGACCTTCTGTGTTTTTATTAGATGAAATAAAAGTTCCTGGATGGATCCCTGTCCAGTTCTGAGTTTTCCTATTCTCTTAAGGATAGAAAAATGAGTGTAATTTATCAATTTATTTTCACAACTGGAAGTTCCTCCATATGATAGACTACTTTTTTTTTTAATTCATTTGTATACCCTGCCCCACTCCTAGTACCTGACTCAGAGTAGGCTTTCAGTAGATTATTGCCAAATAGCATAGAGCCCAACACAATCATCAGACAGATTTTCAAGCTCTTTCTTCCCCATGGTAACATCTTAAGTCAAATTCTTAGTTTCAGGGAAGTGAGGAAATCTACAAAATAGTTATTTTCAATCTTACAACTTTAATATAAAACTTGTGGGACAGGGTTGATTAAGTTAAACTACTATTAGAAGCGAGATACTGATATACTCTAGTTGTGGTGGTTGTTTTTTGTTTTGTTTTTCTTGTGGTAGTGGTGTTTGTGTTTGAACTTGAGCCTTTTTTGCTTGCTAGGCAGATGCTCTACTGCTTGAGTTCCAGTCTTTTTTGCCCTGATTATTTTTGAGACCAGGCCTTACTCTTTGCCCAGGTCAGCCTAGACTTCAATCCTATTTTACACTTCCCACTGATGACAGGCATGTGCTACCACCCCCCACTTTTCCTGTTGAGATGGGAATCTCATAAACTATTTTGCCCAGGGTGGCCAGAAACTACAGTCCTCCCATTCTCTACCATGGTTACAGACATGGGCCTCCAGCACCCAGCCTATTATAGTACTGTCACCAAAAGTTTTTCTTTAGATCTGGTTTCTCTCTTGAGCTATGAAACTTTCCTTAGGTAGCAATGGGGGAGATCGTATAAGCAACACCTTCAGTTATTGGAACCAATCCCTCTTCTCCCTAGGTTCTCACTTCCAGTCCTTGTTCTCACCCCAGACTCATTTCAGACAGAGGAGAAACTTCGTGAAGCAGTACTACATGTCCTGCGCAAAACTACCTACCACTGGCAAAATATAAGGTAAGGTGAGCTAGAAAAAGTGAAAAAGAAACATTGAATTTAGGAGGTAGGGAGAATGATAAGAGGGGGTGAGATTGGTTGTAATACAATATAAACGGGTAGAGCTGTAACAATATAACTTCCCTGTGTGTAACTGAATATAAGACAAAAAGAAAAGAAACATTGAATTTGAGACAGAGAGTTGGGAATATATTAGTTTGGTATTCTAGAAAGCTAGAACCTAGACCCTTTTATGTTGGAGAGTGAGAGGGCTGAGTTGAAAGAGCACTTTCCAAAAGTATTGTTCTCTGTAAGCTTAGAAAGTAACTATGAGATTAAGATTGTTAGTCAGCAGGTGTGATTTTCATGGCAGCTACAATGAAGAACTGAGCCTAATATATATGGCAGCAAGACTGGACGGTGGCTTTGCAGCAGTCTCCAGGGCATTCCATGAGGTAAAAGTCTCAAACTTCATCCTGAGCATGTGTGTACTATGTCTATTGAATTCAGGGCCTGGGTACTGTCCCTTAGCTTTGTCCGCTCAAGGCTAGTACCCTACTACTGAGCCACACCTCTCTTTATTTATCCATTAGTCTCCTTGATAAGAATTCATGTGGTATATATATTGTTTTAAAAGGTTCCCTTTTCTTCTGAAAGGATTCTATGACCCCCCAAAAAAGGCTTAGAATCACCGTTTTAGAACCTTCCCACATGAAAAATGTTGAATCTCAAAATGCATTCATATCTCTTCTCTGTTATCGTCCCCCTAATTCATACTTAGCAAATTTCTGTCTCTGTCTTCTGTGGGCTGTTACATGTTTCTTCAGATCCATTCTCGAATTCCAGAGTTCAAACCACAAACTTTGATGGACTTTGGATCTGGTACTGGTTCTGTTACCTGGTGAGTAATTTTCCTCAGCATATTTTTGTCAAATTCATCTTTCTATCATTTCAGTATCAAGAAAACCAGAGGTAGAATAGGAAAGTTGGACCTACAGTGTTTCTTCCCTCAGAGTAGGCAAGGATTGGGGTCAGAATTTAAATGTCAACAATGGAATAGAATTGAAAACCCAGAAATGAACCTACAGACCTATAGCCATCTAATCTTCGATAAGGGAGCTAAAAAAATAGAATGGAAGAAAGACAGCCTCTTCAATAAATGGTGCTGGCAAAATTGGTTAACTACTTATAGAAAACTAAAGCTAGATCCTTATATATCACCCTGCACCAGAATCAACTCCAAAGGGATCAAAGATCTCAGAGTCAAAGCAGACACTCTGAAAACATTACAGGATGGAATAGGAGAAACCCTAGGTCTCCTTGGCACAGGCTGAAATTTTCTTAATAGAGACCCAGAAACACAGCAAATCAGAGAAAGGTTGGACAAATGGGATTGCATGAAGTTGCAGAGCTTCTGCATGGCAAAGGACATAGCTAGCAAGATCAATAGAAAGCCTACGGATTGGGAGATCTTCACTAGCCATACAACAGACAAGGGTCTCATATCTAAAATATACTTGGAACTCAAAAAATTAAATCCCCCAACAACAAATCCTCAAAGAAACAACTGCCCAATAAATAAGTGGGCTAAAGACTTAAAGAGAAGCTTCTCTGAAGAGGAAAGAAGGATGGCCAATAGACACATGAAGAAATGCGCAACCTGCCTAGCCATAAAAGAAATGCAAATCAAAACAACATTGAGATACCACCTCACTCCAGTTAGAATAGCTAAAATCAAGAACTCTAAAAACAACAGATGCTGGAGTGGATGTGGACAGAAGGGAACCTTACTGCATTGTTGGTGGGAGTGTAAATTTGTTCAACCACTTTGGAAAGTAGAATGGAGGTTCCTCAAAAGACTCCACCTAGAGCTCCCCTATGACCCAGCAATCCCACTTTTGAGCATTTACCCAAATGTTTACAAACAAGACCACACTAAAGCTACCAGCACGACTATGTTTATTGCAGCACTATTTACTATAGCTAAGATATGGAACCAACCCAGATGCCCCTCAGAAGATGAATGGATCAAGAAAATGTGGTATATATACACAATGGAATTCTATGCCTCCATCAAAAAGAATGACATTGACCCTTTTTTTAGGAAATGGAAAGACTTGGAAAAAATTATATTAAGTGAAGTAAGCCAGGCCTAAAGAAACATAGGACCCGTGGTTTCCCTTATTTGCAGTATCTAGTATATGTCTGAGTCAAGCAGAAAAGGTCAGATAAGGTGATGTTAGGAAATGAACCCTAAGATATGTATTCAAATGTTTTTTTTCTTTCATGCGATTGTTTCTAACACATTTATAAGATTATTTCTTTGTTGCTTTGTATGTCCCTCCCCCATAGTATAACCCCTGCTTTCACTGTATTTGATGTCGGTATAATTTGTGGAGGGGAAGGGGAAAAACAAATCGTTTAAATAGGGATACAGGTGGACCCATTGCAACAATGAGATGTACAATTCGTTATGTCAAAAATGATTATGTTGAAAACGAACTTTACAACTTTGGCGGGGCACGAGGGGGGGAGAGCGGGGAGGATTGGGTGGGGGGCAGAGGGAGGATGGGAAGGGATGGGAAGGGGAAACAAAGGAGGAGGCTACAAATGCTTGATAAGAAATGTACTCATTATCTTGCCCATGTAATTGTAACCCCTCTATACAGTATTTTCACAATAAAAAAAAGAACTTAAATGTCAAATAATATTTAGGAAATTAGTATCAATAATAGTTTTTACATACCAATCAAAAGTTTTTCCCTTAAATAGAATTTTAAGTCTATTAGTTTCTCAAAAATTATGACTGAATTAACATTGCTAGTTTTTGTAACTTTAACAAAACACTCTTTCCTCAGGTGTGGAGTTGGAAAGAGGAGTAATCTAGGGATGACTGTTGTCATGAGAACTTGTGGGTTGTTTTTGTCATCACAGGGCAGCTCA